TTACAGCAGCACTTACTTCCCCTGTATTTTTTGTTTGTTATTGCACTAGTGTTCAGAGAGTAATGAAAAAGGCATATGAAGGATACACAACAGATTCTAAATCTTTCATTACATTAATGTGTGTCTTTTGTCATTTGTGGATTAGGCCTTGAGGGGATTTTCTTTCATCGAACCTCTTTTATGCTCCCCTTTTGTGCCACATCTGTCTGCCTGCCTGTCTGCCTTTTTTTCCTGATATGAGCAGTGTTGTTGGACGTTGCATTGCTGTAGCTTTGGGGCTAGCATCTGATGTCTCTTGAAGGTTTGTGTATGAAAGAAATTTGACTCGAAAGGCTCCTTCATGCCTTTTTAACTTTGCAGAGCAAGGTTACAGTTTAGGGGTTATTTTCGTTCTGATTTGGTTTCTCTCTGGGAGGCAATTGTACGTCACTCTGCCTAGCATGATTGTAGGTGTTGAAGCAACCCATTTTGTGTGCGGAATACTGATCCACACATGCTGAGTGGGTGGATTTGTATGTGTGGCTTTTAGAAGCATTGTGTGTGTGAGGGTTGGTGGTTGATGGTAGTGCTGGGGGTGTAATAGGTCAGCTCAGCTTGCATGTGTGGTTTCATGTCTGTTGTGTGTGGGAGGATGAGTACAGTAGGTTGTATCATAGTAGGTCAGGGGATTGTTTGTCTGATCCATTGAGGGGCGATTAGTGCAGACACTGAGCCGAGCCTCTTCCTACCCACAATAAGGGGAGGATTGCCCTCGATTTTGCCACTGCCAGACTCTTGTGACCTCACTGGTCCAGCCCCTCTGCAGCCCCCACCCTGGTCCACTTCCACAGACAGATTGTCAGGGGCTTCATTGCTGCCAGGCCTAACCTGGATAGTGTGTGTACTCTTTGTGGCTCTTGCTTCCTTACTGTGACGTTTTGGTTATTTAAGCTGCATGGAAATCTTACCACTGAGCTCTTTCTCAGCAGCACCAAACCACAATCAGCCAAATGGTGCAGGCCTGCCTTTGATTGTACATTTATTTTGTAGTAATTTGCCCCATAATATGACATGATGATGTTCAGGAGAGTGAAAGGCCTATTTGTCAAAAGAGATGCTGTTTTTGGACTTACTGTGTTAGTATTATATTTTAGAGAATAGGCTATCTTATCATTACAATCAGATATCTGCATCTGTCTTCAGAATCTGTTGGCAACGAGACAAAATTTTGGTATTGCAACAAAGCGCTCCGGTTTCCATTAGTAGTCGAAGTCCCACTATTTAGCGGCAGGTAAACAGTCAATGTGGAGAGGTGGAATGCTCGGGCGGAAATGCAATTGCAGAACCCATCGGCTATCATTTGCAAGGATTTAGCTTCATGCTAGCTGTTTTTTTTTAATGTGCAATCTTATGCAGATATTTCTTTATAGAGATTGGCAAAATGAACGATGCATGGAAGAGGTAGGCTACGCCCGGATATTTGCTTGCTACTCCGGATATCCCCGAAATATTGGCTGTGTCTCTCAGCGGCTTATTGTCGTCAGACCAGTAGCCGGTGGCTTCAAAGATTGGAGAATATCCAACCTATAAATGAGGGACACAAGAATAAACATACTGACTACGTGCACACACACTCAGGGGGGTGAAGGTATTAGCCAAGTCGTGGGGTGCCAGTGAGTGGGGAGGTGACGGGTCGGGGGGCAGTGTGGAGGCGTTGCTCTGCCTTCTACTCTAATCCCTGCATTTAGTTTCTATTCCCAGCCACTTCTTAATCTGCCACTAATAGGATTTGCCAAGCTTTTGTTTTATTTTTTTATAGCTAGAATGTATGTGAGACGTGTTTGACTTGTCTTAACAATAGCATGGTTTACTTTAGGATTAGGAAGATGGACTTTGCCATGGTATGACTGAAAACTGAAGCCATCAGTGATATTTCAGAAATTTGATGTCAAAGTCTGTTGAAGAAAAATTGTATGGGAAGCACATTTACTTTTATGGGAAAGACATTTTTAATATGTGTTTTATGTAGCATATTAATATTCAAGTGGTTGTTGTATTGCATAGTGGAATTGGCTGTGTTTGATTTCAACAAAATCTCTAGCTGATTTAACATATTTAAAACACAAAGCCCAATGTGCCCTTGTGGCCTAATGGATTTAAATTGCATACCACTTAATGGCAGTGATTTTCAATTGTGGCTTTGGACCTTTGTTGCATCACATCCACCTCTTTCCCCCTTGTTTCTTATCTGCATCTACAGTGTACTGTAAACTATCCACTACATGCAAAATTGCCAAAAAATATTCATTAAAAAACAACACAAAAAGCCAAATATTGTGGCTCAGTCACATACTAAGTTGCCTTAGGTGTTGATAATTACATTAACCAATTTCTCTCTTCTTGCATAATAGCTCACTTTAGGCTTTTTAAATCTGCATCACCTTATTCACTTTTCTTTGACACTATGCCCAAGGATGCTATTGCCTTTCTATTATGTACTTTTTGCACTTCACGATACAGGGGATATGTATATGGATCCAGCGTAGCTGCACACTGGCAGTGCACAGTATTGAAAGGTATCGGTTCTGGCACCTGTCTGTTATCGATCTTCATGTTTGATTTAGAGGATGCATTTACTTTCATGACATGACTAGGCCAAAAACGGTCCTGGCAGACACATTACTGACAGCTTTACATTCAGCCAGATAAATCTCTGCCATCAGCTGTTATCGCATTTGTCAATCACACCTCAAGGAAAAGAACAGAGAATGATTACATAGCCTCATTAATGTGCGATGTGTTGCGTAGCTGGCCTACTTAATCTCCTCTCAAGCACCACCTCATTTGTTGCCAAGAATCCTTACAGCCTCTCACTGTGGCACATCATAATCTAACCTAAACAAAACTCATCATGACAGACGTGATGGAGAGAGCTTATATGATCAAAATGTAAGGACGGCTTTTTCAGTACATTAAATGAATTCATTGAACCTTGAACCTGTGGAGAGGGTTTGCAGTCCTCAGTCATGCTTAGCTTATGATTACCTCCTCACAAATCCTCAGCATATTTCTATCACTGTCCTCTGTCATACATCAGCTCCATATAAGTCAACCGCAGCCTCTAGACACAACAAAAGATAAACTAACAGGTATTAGCAAACTAACTGCTCAACCTTGTCTATTAATCTGTGCAATGCTCTTAAACAAATGGCCCCAGTTAGTTAATGGGTCTCTCTGGTGGTGGTGGGGGGTCTAATCTGTATGTAATTCCCTTATTGGGTGTCAGTGGACAAAGGACGGGATCTGTGTGGTCATGTGCAGTTAGTACTGTTTTTATACAATGGAGTGAAATCATTAACTAATTAAACACTATTACTGATTCATATTTGAGGTGTAATGCATATGAAATCTATTCAGACTTAGTATATGAATATTATGGAAGAAATATCTGATTTACTTCCCTGTTGCTGTCAGATAAACTGTTGGCTTGACATCCCTTTATCCGTGTGAAGCTGAGGATCCATCAATATGATCAAGCTTTTCACACTTCCGTTGAAGGCCAAAATGTGCCTTTCTGTAACAGAAGTCAGCGTGTACAACATTTCTTGTCTAACACACATAATTTAAATGAATAAGCTGCATTTACTTCTGACTTAAGTTAAATCTGTCTCCAAAATACAAAGACTCAGCCAGTATGAGAATGGAGGTGGGATTGACCTCCTTGTTTATGAACTAGCCTATTGATTGTTTCCATATTAGGGTACCCATAAACAGATGCTGAGTTAGTACAAACAGCAGGATAGGACGGTTGTTGCAAAGCTGGCAGTGAGTGCAAGTACGGGAACTGATGTAAGGTGTTTTACTTTGTGGGTTTTTGACCACTAGTAGGGCTGGCAATCTTTTATGAGCAGGTCCCCATACTGTTTGTATATTATTGTATACAAATAGTATAGGGACCTGCTCATCATTGTATACTGTTCTACCAGTATGTGCACAAGGATGCACATGCATCCCCCAAGCTTCATGTGTTTTGAGGACAGAAGGGAAGTAGCGACTGTATCAGAGAAGGTGTCATTTTTATCACAGCAGAGGGAACCAAAGCACCACTGAGTGATGCATTGTCATAATATTGATATTGTGACAAGCTAGACTGGGGATTTTGGTTTGTTAACATTTTCTTCCTCTCATGACTCAGTACCAGTTAATGGACAGGCATTTCCAAGACTATTTAATGGTTCAATCTAAATGAATTAACCAATGAATGCCACCTCCTGTTAAGTTATCATCCACATTGCTAATTGCAAACTTTATTTAGTGGAAATATCTTCTGAAAGCATCAGCAGGCATCCTTGAATACTGCTGCATTAGTACAATATATATCGATACTCAGGCACAGTACCACTCAGGCCTATTGCAGTATGTGGTTATGTAGATGTGTTTTTATGTTTGTACTGTTGTGCATGTGCAGTGGTAGTTTTACATGCTGGGTTTCTTAAATTGTCATTATCATGTGTGCGTGTGGATGTAGCTTTGTAGATTTTGCGCATGTGCAAGTCAAGATTTAATCAGTGCAGATTGAGGTTGTTTCTGCCATCAACGCTCAGGCTAAAATGAGATTACTGGAGTCGCCCTGGCTTACAGGAGCAGTTATATTAAATTATTGGTTGGCTAACTGAACAACTTCATGGCAGTTGCTGAACTATCTCAAAGTTTTTTATCTCTTAACACACAATGGCAGTTGCACTGTCTAAGCTGCTATTTGCATATGACTGTCGTTTGAGCACATAAAACTTGAGTGCAGCTGTGAGGCTGAGAGGAGAGTGTGGGTGATGTATGCTACACTGCATCATCTGGCCTTGGATGAAATAGAAATAGATTCTCAGCTCCCAGACTGAATCTCCCTAACATTAGCTCACAAACATTTTCAGGGTCAGTGTCAGCTTCTGGTATCACGCAATGTCCTCTCCTCTCTCTGTATGCACTGATGCTGATGCGTTTGTGTCTCTGTGTCTGAATTGTAGGTTGAATGTGTTTTCCTCCAGCCTGGACACCATGAGCACCATCTCGCCGACGGACTTTGACAGCTTGGAGATCCAGCAGCAGTATAATGACATCAACAATCGCTGGGACCTGGCGGCAGAGACTGACTGGGATAACGAGAACAGTTCAGCACGCCTCTTCGAACGCTCACGCATCAAGGCTCTCGCAGGTATGCTACACTTCACGCCCCACCAATGTAGATGTTTGCATGGTGTCAACATGTGCCTATGTGTGCTGTAGGTGGGTGATGATGATTGACAAACATTGGGTTCTGTTTGAAGCATTGTTCTTATGTCACAATTTAATACATTGTACAACAAAAGCGTGGACCTTAAAAAGTGGCTGACACTCCCATTTACAGTTTACCATAACAATGAACTTTACAAAGGTGTAGTATTTCAGACTTAATGTATTCGGATCGATTGATTTTTTCGATTTTTGTGTCATGCACACACAAAGTGCCCAGCCCTCATGGGTTAACAAGACATCAGAAGTGCAGTTGCAGTGAGATATTATTAGGCACACCTCTACAATCCAATACAAAAGCCAAAAATACTACCCTTGCCAAAACACACCGGCAGCGTACGACATGCGTCAAAACAGCCGCCCCCATTATTTTCTATTTACAAACCCACACCAGCGGCGGCTCAATGTGCGTCGACGTGCCGCGCCACGGCACTTTACACTATTGTCCTATTTTTCCAGCGTCACCGCCCTTGAAAAAGCGCTATTTTGTACTTCCCAGCCTAGCGGACTGGAGTGTGCAATAGAAATCCGGTTGACACCCCGCAGCGCGATGCTTTTTGTGTGTGTTGGGGGCGGCACTTGACTTGCGTCAATGATGCCGCCGTCATATGACGCCGCCGGTGTGTTTTGGCCTTGAGTAGTTTTTCATGACACTGTCTTAGAGGTGTTGATTTAGCTCCTAGATAATTTTTGAGGCTGCAGTTAAATGTTTTTATGTGGGACTGGATTATTTTAAAGGTGTTTCTAATACTGAAACTGTTCAGGACTCACTAGTTTGTTGGGTTCACTATTTATGAAGAGACCCTTTGGCACAGACTAGAGGGAACATTATCAGTTGTGAGTCCATCAGGTAGTGGTCACAGCCCATCTTGCAAATCTTATTGGAATTTTTTGAACATAAAGGTTTTGGTAATAAATATAAAATGTGTAGCAGCCTCCACCACAAAGTTACAATAAGCTGCAAAATGAAACGAGCAAAAGAAACTAATCATCAAACTGTTATAACTGATGTAAAATTGCCCTGCGTGCTTCATTAAATCCTGCTGAGCTGAACAGTATGATGTGAATGTTGTTATGACAACTCAAGTAATACTATCAAAGGACTTAACAAGTACATTATCAAATATAAGCCATTGAAACATTCAAGAAAATTCAGTAATTATTTTGGACTCAATCAAACATACTCTAACATTACTGTTAGAGCATGTTGATCAAATACTTCTAATAATAATTTAAGATGATGCATTTTTTAGAAGGCCTGAACTGAAATGTTTCACCATGTTAACAAGAAACAGTATTAAACAGTAGATTCTGCTGACTGGTAACACCCAGAGCATTTAGCTGTATAACAGCTCCTGTAAAAGGCATTCTTACTTAGGTTTTCAGTCACATACTGACACACTTTTGTGTCAAGCTTTTGGTGACAGCCCGTTTGGGTGGGACCAATAGAAATTCTTCTCGGACTGTTAGCGTTTTTAAGACTGCCTTTTTGGCCTACGTGTATTTACATGACAGTCCCTGACAGCACATTTCTTACAGGCTTGACGGATTACTCTTTTCCGTTTATTTCTGTGGTGAAGTAGACAGGAGAGGCTGTCCAGTGTGGCAAGAAAACCCACATCAAGAGCAGACATTTTTCGGGCTGACTAACGCCAGTAGGCTCTCTATAAATGGGCAGGTAGAAATTTGCTAGCCTAGCAGCAGTAAGGCTAGAAACTACACATAAGACAACACTTGTAAAATAACATGCGACAGGAATTTGATAAACAGACATTTAGAGACAAAATCCCAGACTAATAGTAAATTGTTGAAATCTAATGAGGCTCTCCAGAACAAGGAACCAACTTTATTTTTTCTCTCCCACAAGGCACAATTTTCTCTTTATAGGGCAAGACAGAAATACTTTCAAAAGGAGGACAAAGCCAGGCAGCTGTAAAGTCAATTCACCACAGAGCAATAAGCAGTGATGGAATTAGGTGGTGAGATTTTAGGGTTAGGTGGGGAAAATCCTCCTTCAATACAGCATCGCTTAAAGATAAATAAACCATCTAAAATGTTCATAATGTGAGTCTGTCCTCTGATTATTTAAGAAAACAACCATCACATGAATGCACTGAGATGATCCAAGGTTTCTGGATGACATGTGTTTCGGAGCCCGTGCCCTGCCCAAGCAGTGGTCTTATTGAAATGAATGAAGAGCTTGCCCTTGAGAGTCTTGACATCCTTCCAAGTTGTGCAAGTGCATGTGTACTGGGCAGCCTATCCTGTCGGAGGCTTCAACTAATGTGACCCAGGTGAAATCCTGACGGCTCTATTAGTTGTTGTAGTACATCCAGCGTGCATGTGTGTTCATTTAACTACCTTGTACCTTCCTGGTTTCACATTCTGCAGATAAAATCTGTGTTGTTTGTAGTCAAAACAAGTTGCAGTATCATGGAGAACCCACCAGAGGGGAGCAACAGGCAGGAACACACACACATACACACACACACGCACATACAGTTACACACATGCACACACAATCAGCAAAAACCACATGCTCTGCCCATCTTTGAGCAACGCTGTAGTCAAAGTATTTCTGAAAGATAAACCTCATTTCACTTACAAATTCATACAGACTCATTTCCTCATGCCAACAGGAAACACACTTTGGGTGTTGCCTTTTTGTACATGCATTCCACTGTATTTATATTATGTATTACTGTCATATAAATAGGGAAAGCAACAGACATATGTATATTAAATGTAAAAGCTTGACCTGTGTATGTATGTATGTGTGTGTGTGCATGCTCCTGTTTGAATACCTGTGATACCATCTCCGTTTGACGAGTGTGGGCTTGATGTGCACATTCTTTGACATGCTGTAGCAGCTACCTCCCTCGAGGCACAAATCCTGCCCACCTTTGACATCTTATCCCCAAATGTCAAGACCTTCAGCAGTTTGTGAGCTGCTCCTTACTTATATGTCTTTTTCCCACCGTCTCTCGCAACTCAACTTTCTCTGCTTGTCTCTGTGTAACATGATTGCCTCATTTCCTGATTCACACCTCTTCTGCCACTTACAGTCTGTTGGAATCATTTTGCTTAAGGTATGACGGCAGCGGCACCCTCTTGTTTCACAGTAGAGAGCTTCTCCTGTGTTATATAATTGAAATTTGCTTAAATAACCACTTATCTGCTCCCCTATACTGTGTGGGTAGCAAGGCAAGCGGTGCAACTTTGCATTTCTTTAAGCAACGCCCAGCTTCACACTCAAAGAGTTACATGTATTTACTTGTGGAAGCTTTCACAGTAGGAAAGAGCAAGGCTTTTGCACTTTAAATAGCATCCCTGTGCTTTCTATTAACACTATGTTACTGGTGTTCTTCGTAATGCATCCACATCATTAGCAAAGATCAGTGAAATCTGTAAAACCACCAACTAGATGCACAGACCATGCATGTATTTATAATGAACTGAGAATCAACACAGAAGCATGATTAATAGAATATAATATCAATTCACTGCCTCAAATTTGGCTGCATTTGGGACAACACTGAGATCTGAGTGATTGTGTGACTCTCGTGAGAAATAAACCGCACTTGCTCCAGGGGGATTCCCGTTCAGATCAGATATGTACTGCTGGTGTTTGGAGTATGGTCCAGCCTTTCGTCCTCCCCCGGGTCCCTCGAAGGGGTTGTGCTGTGGGGTGAATAAAATTTACATGCTCAGCAATAGATCTCTCCTTTCTCCCTCTGGTAGTCCACCTCCCTCACAGCCTCTATCTTTTCCTCTTTTTCATCTGTGTTCACTCACAGCACCAGACCATCATTAATTATCATTAATTCCAGTTTGCTCCATGCAGGAGTTTCTCCCACATCTCCCTCTGGCAGACTTTCTCACTGTTTGTCTTCGAGTTTCACAAGATTCAGAAAATCACTGTTAATTCTATTCAGCATGTTTATGTATTAGTACATCCAGATGACTGATGAGTTATATAGGGAGGGATCTGCCCTAACATAATATGTTAGTACGCATATGCCAGACACACAAACCTGCCATCACATCTGCCTCGCATGTTGAATGGGATTGTGATGTTTGATATATGCCCAATGGGATCTTAAATGGTCATTACCAGTTTACCAGGTCTCTACTCTTCATTTTTTCACCGCATGTGACCACTGCACAGCCTCTGTTCTTCAGAAGGAAGTGTGTTCTCTTTGGATCTCATTAGTCCAGTCCTCCCTCCATAAACACCCAGTCACAGAAGGCCCGGGGCATTTGGCCTTCTAATGAGAACCATCCAGATGCTCCCTGCTCATCAGGACAAGCACAGATCAAAAAAAGCAAACAGACCTTTTAACCACTGCCCCCTGACCAGACCAAAAGCCATCCTCTTGCAAGAAAGGTTTTGACCTTAGTCCCCACTGTGTTGACAGACTTGTGTAACTTTTGCACAGACAGGCATTTAGTAGATCTGTAACTCTTACTGTTGCATTTTAAGAGTGTTAATTAGCAGCTGCAAGAAAGTTTAAACCCTCCATTCAATAGTTATACTCTATAACTTGGTGTAAATAAATACTGCTTTATTACTGGTGTTGAATTATGGAGCACAGCCACAAAAGTCATGTGTATATAAACTTATCTGAGCATCTGAAATATGTGCTACAAGGCTACAATTACTGTTGCTATGTTATCATGAGCCTTTGTTCACTGATGAAGGAAAATAATTGTTTTGTAACTGTCAAATCCCCGTACAATTTAAAATACAAGTCCATCCTCCCTCCAGTGTTTTCATGCAAACACTGAATTTGACAGTGACAAAACTGACATATTAAAAAGCCAGTAAAACCCATTGTTTCATGAACAAGTTAAATCATAAATCATATTTATATTTGTTCCTTACTAGTAAGACATAAAAGTTGTGAATGCAGTAGGCCTATGGTTCTATAATTGCTTTAGAAAGGTAGTGACTCACTTCCACCCCCACACCTGCTTAACTATCTGCCTGACAAACAGAAACACAAGCTTATAATTTCAAATCTTGTTCAGGCAGGAAACAGCTTGTTGTATTGCGGAGACATACTCAACAACTTCCTTCCTGTCTTAACGCTTTATACGGCAGACCCGCGAACAGAAAGCGTAGAATCAAATCCCTTTTCAGAGAGTGATAGCCATAAGAGCCACACACCAAGACAACAGGATAAGGATGCGATCTGATTTGGACTTTCGTGATGTACCTTCTTGGCAGGCCACACCCTGATGCTCCCTGGAATTAAGGTGGAGTTGAATAATCCGCCTCAAGCTACACCGAGCAAAGAACTGTAATGATTTAGTCCACCTCTACACCACCTCCCTCCCCTCCTCCTTCCACCGTGCTCTCCCTTTGTGCTCCTCCCTCAAACACACCTTATGCAAATGACACAATTTTCAGACAGCACAGCAGGCTTTGTTTACACAGCTATCCGACCGCAGCCGGTTAGCCTGCTCTGCTCTGCTCTGCTCTGCTCTGCTCCAGCAATTGCGTGTTGAGAGTTTGGAGGGAAGGAATAGCCAGTGTGCTTGAACCACAAGAGAGTGCAACGAAAAGTTTTTTACTTTGCTCGGAGGCCACAAGCGTGGTGAAATACTTCTCAGGAGGAGATGAAACAAGAGAACATTTTGTTCTTCAGTTTTGTTTGAAATTATTTTTTGGAAAAAAGAAGCCTCCACCGTTGCACTGCTGTATTTTCACTGGACAAGGTGGGACATACAGTAGAAGAAAAGAATCCGGCCACATTTTCAAGCTTTTGTTGTACCTTACTGAGGCACAGCATTGAGGGAATCTAGAAGAGGAGGACTAACCAAGGCATTTTGGATATACAAAACTTTCATTTTCTGGAAAGCCCTCTGAAGGATTTGATACATTTTTAGTGGGAAAGGTTGCCTCTGCTGGGCTATGCAGGAGAGCTCCCATTCACTCTGTGTCTGAGAGGAATATTCAGGAGACAGATCCAGAAGAAAAGGCCATGGAGTATGACCGCAGGGACAGAGAGCCCTGCTTGTCCCCTGCAGCATTTGTTAATCAGGTGCAATACTCTAACATCCTGGAAGGAAGGTTTAAACAGCTGCAAGGTAAGAGCCGTTCTGACCTGTCAATACAGGGGAAAGGGAAATTCCATTCAATTTGTAAATTGGTTTTGTGCATTTATCCAACGTTCTTTGGTGTGATTTCTTATGGAAACAGTTGTTAATGCTAAAAGTTATTCATAAGACTGGCCCAGGGTGAAAAGTGTCACTCTTTAACACGTATCCTATTGTTTGTTGAAACAGGAAATATTAAGTAGAATAGGACTTCTTGGTAAGTGCTACAGCAGGTGCTCTGGGTTGTAAATGAGTCCCCAGCAATAGCTCAGCATTTTTCTGACATAAGTGATTACCTGTGAGAGGTTGAAGAGACTACTCTGTTCTGTGCTGTTTTAGTGCTTAATGTGAAGCAAATCCAAGAGAGCCAGAGCAGACACAGTAGACTTCAGCTCAGCTCTAAAGCAGGCAGTCTGGCACCTGATCACTGGGCCACCTGTCCTTTCTTATCTTATTACAATGCATGGCTCTGTCTCAACCTAAAGCCTGCGAGGTCCTGCAAACAGAAATCACAGAGGCCAGTGGTTGGGACATTGGACTTAGGAAATGATGTGGTAACTAAAGTGCAACCCCTCCTCAAACTTAGGCTAGAACTTGATTAATTTTAAGGGAATCCTGTAACTCCTCGTAGTTTCTTAACTAACATCTAATATTTGTGTGAAATGGAAGCAAAAATGGTTATTTTTCACTTTGTGAAGGTTTTTGTTTGATCACCACGTGTACCTGTTAGAATTCTTGTAGTACCATGTGGCATGTTCCTCTGAGCTTTAGACTTCTTAGTCACAGGCCACGAGATAGTAGGAGTATGTGCAGTGGCTGAGTGTGTACGGGCAATCGTGTATGAAACTGGCATTTCACATCAGCGCTGTGCATTAGGTTTACAGTGTTTTGCTAGCTTCCGGTCCCCTCCCTGGTTGCTGTCTGTGGTGGAGAGCAGCCTTTGAGTTTACTTGAGGGGCAAGTCTACTCTTTCTACATGTTTGACATTCTTGTAGAGGTCCTGCAACATTTCACCTCCGAGATTAAGCAGAATCCTCATTGCAATTGAGAAGGTGGTTGGTCTGCTGAAAGAACATGGAGGTATGTATATGTGAAATATGATGACTGAATAAAAAAAATGTCTACACCTCCACAATGACGGCACCGATGCTCTTGAGTGATTAGACCCACAGAAGAGATAGTATCTTTTATTTCAAAGAGTGCACAAGATTTACAGGCTTGTCTAATTCAGCAGTGCAGCCTCTTGCACAAAGAAGCTAAGGGTGCATACCTACACATCTTTCTCAGCTTGTCAGGCAAGAAAACCTTTATCACATTGTGTAATTGGGGGTCAGGGATCAGTCACCAAGTTTACGCTGACAGAATTTATTTGCACTTCCCTACAAGACATATATTGTGAAATGAGACATCCATGCGCATGGAGATGTTCTGGACAGAGTTTGCTGTAAATATACTCACGCGCACATTCTCAGACACACAAACACATTTTGGCACCACCCACTTGTATTTCCAGTTTGGCTACCCTTGAGGCTCATTCTTGTGTCAATCTTTCCCTCCCTGCATTAAACCATGATGTCCGCTGATGAAACGGAAAATGTGCACATACATAGTCTGGTGTCCTCCTCACATGAATGGAAGCATTCAAAAAACAAAATAAAATTCACATGCATTTTGGCAAGGTCAGTGTTGCCCAACTTTTCTTTGTGGACTAAGATTTAATTTCAACCATACAATGGATCTCCCTGTGAATATTTCAGCATAACAGTGGGACATATAAATATATTTTAGTGGCTTGAACCTGGTAAAGACAGAATTGTAGGCCCTATATCTGTCATGAAAGCCCTGAACACATCCAGGAATATCTGACTGAGTGGTGAATGATAAGTTACTAAATAACTACGACCAGGGCAGACAGGTTTAATGAAACACTGGGCCACATAGTTGCATTGAAATGAGAGACAAAACCTTCATCTCTGTGTCTTTATTTGCAGATGGAGGGACAGTTGCTGTTTTTAAATAGCTTTTTGTTTCTTGACCCACCCTCATATGAAACGTTAACCCATAAAATCATGCACGACCAGTTAAGACAATATACAACTTTTTTTTTGTCGTGCAATCCCACTATGCACATGATATTATGCAATCTTAATGTGCCTTGTGTGATGCTGTATAAAAGTTCATATTGCCTAATACTACTGATCTTGGCGCCAAGATAAATATGTTGTCAGTTGGGTTTGATGTTCCGGTTCGTAGATAAATACAGTGTGTAATGTTAGACTGCAGGGTCACTGTTCTGGCTACCTGCACCCTCTGAGTCCACTGCTGTGGACTTTAGTTTGGACTATCACTCAGCAGGCATTAGCACTATGGCTTTATGCAAATAAAAGAGGGCTTTGAAAGATACAATCCTTTGACTCAGCTAAGGTTTTTGCCTTTTAGGACTTTAAACATACTTATAAACACAAACGAAGTGAAAAGATGTACCAACAAAGTCTGCAGCTCCAATATTTTTGGTGCTGGACTGACTGATTTCGCATTGAAGTGTCTGTTTTTTTTGTTGTCAGCCCATCTCTGCAGTCGTTTTTCCTCATGCAATTTAATTCTAGCATTTTGGTCTGTGAAGTCAAATCACCACAAAAACAGTGATCAAGGCTATATACAGTATTTTTTCTCTCAATGAATGTTTAGCTGGCTAGATCAGAAGCATTTTTGTTCTTATATGTATTTTTTTTAAGAATCTGAGTTGACATTGAACAAGCTCAATGTCAAGTTTTGGGTCAAGTTTCCAGTCTGGTGTCAAACTATGAACTGAATGTGGTAACGTAATATTATTCAAACACTCTTAGTGAAAGCTCGGACTCTAGTGGCCTCCAGCTGTAACTCAGAGTCACATTACCTTTGTGAGGGTTCACCATACGTACACACACACCCACACCCACACAAAATGCCCTTTTGTTTGTACAGTTTTACCAATATTGACTGTTTCCTACTTTGGAAGGGTAACAAGGGGGTGCTATTTTGGAGGTTTTAGGACAATTATTGTCCTGTTGACATTTCACACCCTTTTTGTGTCCAGATGTTATGGCTGAGAGGTGCCTATTTCTATCTCTTTTCTCATGGGATTGGCCTTGGCTGGTTCCCTCCCCTCCTATCTTCCTCCATTATCAGTTGCAGCTGCAGATGGCACAGAGGGGCATGACCTGAAGGGCATGTGCACTGCCTTCAGAAAGAGAACAGTATTGTAAGAGAGGTCTCTGTCTTACTCACACTGTCAGTCTTTGTAAGAACAAACCTGTTAAGAGTTAGGCAAAACACATTGTCTTTCTATACTTGTGACCACAAACTGTTAAAAGTGTAAAAATAACTCACGCCACATGTGGCAAGGCGGCGGTTTTACCACAGCCCTACTTTCAAAGTCATAAGCAAAGGAAGGGCAGTTCCGCTTTTATAGGGAAAGAAATGTCAAAGGATGTGCATCTGTACATGCCACTTTGCTCGCTTTGTTTTGCTCACACATTACTTGTTTACAGTTTGATTTTTATATCATAAATAATTGGGCTGAAGATATGCAGGGATGCCTACGTAAACTCTGTAGACATTTTACGTCTGTGCGTAAAACTGAGGATAAATTTCCCAAACATGAAGTAAGAGTAAATTGTTATTTGTGCTCAGTGCTTTGATGCAACAGTGGCAGGTACATACACTACAACATCCTGTTGCTATGATTTTTTTTGTTGTTGTAGACTTTCTAGTACTGTTTTTATACAACTGAAGCAACGCAAGCAAGGGTTCATCTCTAGAACGCACCAAAGGTAGTTTTGAATGCATCGTTTATCACTTTTCCCCTTGTTGTGAAAACATTATTCACGAAATACCAACTCCTCCTACAACTGTTTTTGATCGTTTGTCTTCATTGTTTGCATTGCTCATGCACTAGCACACACCATAGTCATAGTTGACTCTTCGCTCAAACCACCCACTGGTGTCAATAACTGATGTTAACCACTGACCACAAAACTTACAAGCTGCTTTTGGCTCTTTGAGGGTTTTTTTTCTCTCACTACTGTGTGATAAATACTTTATGAAAACAAATAACAGACTTAATCTAGGTGTCAAGGTCGTCCTCTAATGAGTGCCTTGAGTCTGCTCTGTAATCTCAGACAGCAAAATAGTTGGAGGCTGAGTAGATGGTGAAGAAATGCATTCTTGAGCCTTTGTTTTTTGTTTCAGTGTAATCATGTTAAGTTCATTGTGACTTTTTTTTAAAGCACTGTATGAATAAAGTGTATATCATCATTTTTATATTATACACACACTCAGTTTAATGCAAAAAACCCCAAACATTTTGTAGCATGACAATCTGAGTGTTCTATGGTTGTAATAGTGGCTTGTTGCAGTTTTGTGTTTTTTTAGCTAATTAAGAGTAGAGCTGAAAGCAAGCTTAAGTCAGACTCTCAGCGATGAGCGCCTCTCTCTACACCCTTTGGCACCATACCATAATCTTGTCTGTGTGGGAATGTCCAAGTGAAGGTCATTAAAGCAGATTAAATTGATAGAAGCTGTTTGCTCATTCTTTCTGAGGACGGGGTGACCAGAGGCGCTCATTACGCAAGCTCACGGTGGGTGAGGGACCGGATGTCAAGAGTTTACGAAGTCAAGGGTATTTCAACCCGTCTACAAAGGGAACCAGGAATAGCTAGGGAGGAGGGCATGACCTGGGCAGGACATTAAACAAGATGAAATTGTTAACAGCATGATTAGCAGACTGTGTTTAGATTTTCTGCCGCTCCTCTGAAAGCTTCTTACATGTTTGGGAGTAAAGAAATAATCCCCAGATAGAGTCCAGTGTGGTTGACAGTGAATGGTCAGGGAAATGGAACGTGGACAAAATCTGCAGTATGCATTTGTTGCTATTGTGTGAAGTGCTTACTATGGTAAGCTATTTATGGATGGAGTCACTTCTTGTCCTCTGTGCTAAAGTGACGCCACTG